GTCGACGACGACGACACCGACCACGAGGATCGCCACTAAATTCCGCTCGCGTATCACTGAACTTCTTCTCGCCGATCAACTTCCGATGGGAATTATACGAATGCACAAAACGATCGATTTAAACGAGCATCCGCTTTATTCGCACGTTTACCATGATCGATAGAGTCGCGAGACCGGATAAAGGCGGATGGGGTGTGAAATACGTACGCGGACCCAGCACCACCTCCGGCCCAAAATTGAAGTACAACTCCGCTGGTAACTTCGCGCTGCTGCGCATGTTCGTGCTTCAGGATGGCTCGTAAGATCGATAGGGAAGACGGCGGTTTCGTGACCGACGGGCTTCGGGGGCTGGTTTCGATTTTAGGGGAAAGTCGATTTGTCGGCCGGGGGAATCGTTCGCAACGATGTAACGCGCTGAAAACTTCGCGTTTAACTGTGCGCTCGTACTTCCTGCTGATTCCACCAAGCTACCTATACATTACATATTCCGTAGTACAAACTTCGAACACCTCGAACCTGGCATTTTGTTTAAATTTGACAAATTTTCTCCATTTTCCAAATCGTCCCTTGTATAACAGAAAACCAGAAACCCATAGAATATCCAAAGTTCGGAATAAACTTACTCGAGCCCCATTAAAACGATTGTTACCGAAACGAAACTCGCGATCTTCCATTGCAACGACTTCGCCATTGCTTTCTATTTCGAACGTTCCGCTAATTAATCGAATAGAATCGGCGAACGGAAGACATTCCTCGGCGCCGACATGCACTGTGCCTTGGTTCTCATTATCGATGTTAAAAAAACCATGGCCCCATTTTAACGGGGACACGGTCGTTATTTCGACGATAACGCGTTATTACGCGATCGTGCGTAATTCGCGCGGACCGTTCTCACCGAGTATCGGTCGTGAAATTTCATTATCCGCCTCGTGGAACGCTCACGAGGACCAGCGATATCCGGGGAATCGTTTACGAGGAAAAGTCGTCCGCGGGAAATATATCGCATCTTCGATGTCGCGTGCAACCTCCACGCCTCATAGAGATACAACGTTGTATTCGAGTCGCGTGTGCGCCTCTCGTATTCCGTTTGAACGGGCAAAAGTGGATTTGCTTGTCGTTTCGAACGCGTAGAGTCGTGGAAATACGACGTAACGTCACGTCCCCGAGACGGAGAAACGGTAAAGATGGATAGCTATGTGCATTGCCGTGCGATGCTGCTCGCCGCTAGCTACGATCTCTATCTCTTTTTAACGTCTTTCTCTCTCTCTCTCTCTTTTTATTCAGTACAAAAGTTACGTTGGTTATCGAAAGTTCGATTAAATTTCAGATATCACGACGCGAGAAAAGAAGGAGCGTCTTGCTCTTGAAATTTATTACGCGTTAGCCTGATCGACAAATGTTATTTATTAAATTTGATGGTGGAATATCACTTGCCCAATTACCAAGAACAATAAAAAAGGAGAGAAGTGTTTGAAGTGGCTGTTGAAAAGCGGAATTTATCAGTCGTAGCGAAGTTGGCACGTCGATCGTAGAAACGAAATTCCTCTGCTATCTGCTTCTGAAGATTTGAAATCTTGATAATCAGCGCTTTTTTAATCGAAGTCACTTCCACGTTCCTCTAATCGCCGAAGATAGCGGAAAAATCGTTTGTTTTCATATATTCGACCAAAGCTTATCGTTTCGCTATTTTACACCAACGTCGTGTTTTTCTATCGCCTGTTCGATGGTTAAAAACGGCAAACGAAATAGAAACCGGTAACAGCAGGAGAACTCGCATCGAGATCTTAATTCGCGGCAATTGACCATTCGACAAACACAATGTTCTTCGGTTCGTTAAACAAACGCATCCGCGATCGACCAACTTTACCGGACAAGTTGACCGCGCTTTCTAGCCACCGGAAGCCAGCTGTTATCTCAAGAAGCTAGCCGGCACCGAACGACAAAGCCCTCGTCTTTGACACGAGCGACCCACATTCGACGACTAAGTTGTTTCACGATCGGTACGTACGTCGAATACATCGAAAACATCGTGGATACTTTCGCGATATAAAAGAAACAAGGGAAACTGCTGGATGAGATTCGTGTAATTGTCGTGTAATTATAAACAGCCACGTTCTTTAAATAAATTACACATTCCTCTGTCGATATATCGAAGTAACGTATCATCGCGCGTTTTCAACAACTTGCAGACTGAAGTTGTTTTTCCAATTCAAGTTGCTTTTCAAAGATTCTTCGTGTCGAACGCTACTTACACGCGCGTTTCGTTATTTATTCGAACGTTTCACGCTTAAACAATCCCATTCGAATAATTGTCCAACGTTTAAGCAACCTCCCATCCAGTTTCGTTACCTTTAATACGCTATTATTATTCAGCCACTTGAATTTTGTACATTTTGCTTACTTTCATAGAATAAATCGTTCCAGGTGAAACGTTGATTGAAATAAAATCATTGGAAGCATAAGCTCGCGAGACTTCGTTATTTCCATCTACTTGGAAAAATATCCAAACTCGAGTAAATCTAAACCTTCGAGTAGATCTAAATTTCCACGAACAACGCCGAAGGAAACGTACAAGAAAAGATAAATTACCCTTTCCACCCTCTTTTCCAAGTTCCATCCTGCGAACCAAACGAACAGTTGTCCGGCAATGTTCTCTGAAAGAGACCAGCGTCAGGAGAATTTTGCCAGACAAGATAAATTCCCATGGGCCCGAAGGTCGCCCTTCGATG